TTGTCATAACTAATTATTTTAAACAATTCTAAAGATACTTTCCCACAAAAGTATTTATCGGGTGGTAAAAGTATGGCAATTTTGATCTACAGTATTTGGAAAGTATAGACATCCAGTCTTACTAGAAAACTACCGAATTCCTTGAAAAACACTCATGGAGCGCACACAGGACAAAAATGAGAGGATGTCACTAATTGTCAGCCCGACGATTAAGTAAGTGAAACTTAAATGTAGAACAGTTTCTGAGATAAGCATCGTCTTTTATATGCAATGAATTCTGCTTTGACTTCGCACCCGTTGCTAATTACCGCGACAGCCAAATCACGTGACACAAACATGACTTTCCTCGCGAATGCAATGTTTTAAGAGGGGTTTGAATATGTTTTAGTCTAAATATATCATCAAATCGCCCAGTTTGTACGGGGGAAGGTATCTTTAAAAGGTATTATAATATGATCTGTGTCAGGGTAATTTGAACTACTAGGATAATAGTAAGTGCACGGGGACTGCACCACACAAAATTTACACAAAAACAAATACACGGACAAGCCATCATACTCAGGAAAACACAAACAGACAGAGAATTAAAAAAAAGTGAAGGGATCCGGGGACGTACTAGGATAAAATTATCGGAGATCACATACAGTAGATAACAGAAATGATAAAATAAAAAATAAAATCAGATGAAATAAGAAGATAACATAGTGTGCTCCACGTAAAGATAATACGATATGCTAATGTACTCCATGTAAATATACCCCAAGTAAATAATGTAATGTACCCCAAGTAAAGATAAGACCATGTGCTCCATGTAAAGGTAAGATAATATACCCGAAGTAAAGATAAGATCATGTGGTCCAAGTTAAAATAAGACCATGTGCCCCAAAGTAAGGATAATATAATTTATCACCCAATAATACATTCTACAGTAGATATCGCTTGTGTGATATATTTCATAATCTACTTAGGAGATATCGCTTTACATGAATTTGATTGGTCAGTTGGAAAGGAACTACTTTTTTTATTTTCAAAGAACAGTTCATTTCTTATTAAAAGTACCTTTTGTTTTATTAAAAATGAACTATTGTTATTCAATTGAACTTGATGGAAACACTGGGTCAATATAAAGGACTTTGCAATGGTTGAATTGCTGTCAAAAAATGATGTATCACTACGCCGTAATGTTCAGTACAAATGAAATCTACAGCAAAGAATTATATTTATCTATTTGTGCATGTAAATTAAGGGATTGGGTTATAAATAAAATCTCCTTCTCGTCTTTTTTGATATCAAAAAAATATCAAACGAAATTGCACATTGGTCACTAATTAGTGTTCCGTACTATGTGCAGTAGCTGGTTTGTCAGTACTGTATACGTAAATATGTTCCAGTATATTAAAGAATCATACGAAGCCTGTTATATCCGAAAATAATTTACACCGCTAAACTTTTGGTCTCTAGCATCGACTATTTATTGTAGTTTTGCTCTGCAATGAGATAAGATACCCCTTTTAATCAATTTTATTATGATTCATTCAAAACAAACAAAACCAGTGTTATAAACAGTTGGTACAAATTTCCTTTTCATAAAATGACGGTCATTTATTTAATAACAAAATTAGAACGATATGACGTAATATAATAAGTGAAATTCCAAAATTAATGAAACATATACAAAACATTATGGAAAATAATACTGAATGGGTGTTGGGCTTAACAAACAATCATGAAATGGTCAAACACGTCTCCTATGTGGAGATGTCATGCCCAACACAAGTGAGAATCAAAGAGGTAATGACGATACTAGAGAACATAAAAGTTACTATTAGAGATGATTGAATGAGAGTATAACAACTGATCTGTAGTTAAATTACCTGTCACACTACGTAGTCATCAGTCAATATAAGACTATAAAACCCTATCAGATAATTCCTTTTACACTAAACTCTTGAATTGTTGTTGTTTATTACAGATTTAACGTCAAATACATTAAATTTGATATTATGGACAAGTTAATTTAATTAAATTATTTACATTTAATAAGGCTTGAATATTGGTAACAACACAAAATAAAAACGTCATTGTATATCAAAAAGTCACCTTTAAACACACTTATAAAATCATTGTCGTGAGAAAGGAGGGCGGATCATCTTCTCCCTTTGTCATAATAAAAAAAACTCCACAAGTTCAAACAGGAGGTCCATTTGATTAATGTTTGGCGTCATCTTGAATAAGCACATCGTACTTTTATCTGATTAGCGTACACGCACTTGTGTAATCATCGGATTGACGCTACTCACTGGGTTTATTAAAATCCAAATGTAATAAAAGACGGTGCGTCACGGAATAACTCGACATTACATTTTCGTACTAAAAGTTTACATTGATAGGGATCAAATTTCTATGTTTGTTTTTAATTAGTTGTAGAAGAACGTGTGCCTGAAACGTTGCATTACGTTCTTTAAGGAACAATCACTAAAAAGGGCATTGATGAAGCGTTTCGGAAATATATAGTTCATTTTAATCAGAGCAAAATTAAGAAAGAAAATTAAAGATAACCGTATAAGTTGTCCGTAAACGTGGTTTAGCCCAACACCCAAGTCGATGTAAGATAATTAAACTGAAACAAACCACTTCAAGATGTTTGGGCCGGTTCTACTAATCACCGACAAGAAGCGGCAAAACGCTCAAATTATTTCAAAATTCAAAAAGTGACCGAGAAGGGAAGATATGTTATAGATATATTATATATACAGATCATGTATCTAAAATTTAAATAATTTCATAATAACCCTATCGAGTTAGCTTCCATTTAACTTCTCTGTGGTTTACCACTGCTTTACGAATGGGAGGATAATCCACAACCCATAAAGCGTAGTTAACATTTTTTCTTATGCATTCACGAGTCCGTTTTTCGTGTTGTAGAGTTAAAAGTCTAAAATCGGATTAGATCAAAGCTATTTTTCGGCCTGTTAGTTTAATTGTGATAGTGATGCATGAAATTGTTTTTAGATGGCAAGGTCGAAGAAAGACATTACTCTCTGTCAATTACTACAATGTAGTCGCAAATAGCAGATTTGAAGCAATTGTAGTCAAAATTATTGTTACTCCGACAACCAATTCAAACGGGATCGTAAATGCCCACTCCTCCAAATAATAATAAAAAAACAAACAAAAACAACCCAACTCTACATTTTTTTTTGTATTCACAGGTGTTATTAAAGATACTTACAACAAATTTTTTACTAAGTATCAGTCATTTAGAGGGGCAAATGTCCTCTTTCTGTTAAGTTTTAAAGATTGATAGGTGCGCTAACCGTATCCAAGATGTGACCATTTGGTTCGGTCTAATCCTCACTACAGACAGTATCTGATAGTTGAGGGGTTACTAAACCGTCGGATAACCTGGGTAATAGTAGTTTTTAGTTCCGATGATTGGGTAGACCTACAGCCTTACTTGCCTGATTTGATGTTTTGACAATAGTTTTTATTATCCATTTTATTTGGATTGTTCAGCCAGTGTCAAGAATATCTAAACTTTCTGTCATTGCTGGATGAGGTTTGAGATAAAGCAGACACAGTTTATTAAATAACCATTTTTAGCGTTTGTACCGATTAAGTTCTTTCTTTGAACTTATGGCCAGTGCTATTAAGTGGGTGTATTATAATCAAAGTTGATTGAACCTTTAAGGTCGTCGATCGGACGATTTCATTTTAAACAGTCAAATAATTTTATTATTAATTTTAGATTGCTTGACAGGGATTTTTATTTCTATAACCAAATTTTCGCCTTTCGCATATAAAGACTTTATTCCATTCAAGAAAAATTTGAGATTAGCACAAGCGCGTATGACTCTACCTTGAAATACACAAACATGGTTCTAAAAGCACATATTCATGTAATATGAATGTATGTAAAGTTATTTATGTTCAATTTTCGAAAACAATATTGTAATTTCTAATCAGTTATGTTCGCTGAAATACGTGAACAGTTCAAATTGAACAGCAGTCGTTTACGCCTGCTTAGTGCATTCTACATGTTTTTTAAATTATCATTTTGTCGTTTGTGAATGAGCCTTTACTAATTACTTCCACATTGTGTTGCAGGATATGTTTTTATTTGTTCATTACAAAATGGCACCCGAAACCATAGGGTACACGATTCGTGTACTGATTATAAAATGTTAATTGTGTCCTTAATATTGGATATTAGGATTCTATATATTCACGACAAGATAACAACATCAATATTGAATTAAATGGACCAATATTGAATTCTAATTCGTGTTTTTAATTTCGAATGTTATGGAAAATATTGACTTAGAGACTTAGCTCCTTTAAATCCGCCAATCGAACATAATAAAAATTCATTCTGTTAGCTCTTCCAACAGATGGGGTTAGTAAAAACCTTCAAACCCAAAAGCCATCCTCTAAATACACTGGTAAAATAAGCGCTGTAGTTAATACTCTATTCCCTAGTGTCCACAATATAAAATATTAAGAACTGATTTAAAGAGACATTTTAATTTAATTTTAAGGAAGCCCTTGGAACTTGTCAGAAAAAATATGACGATACTACCCACAAAACCATATTTTAATTATCATCTCAAGACAAATTAAGCCCCCAGTTGCCAGAAATAGAATCTAACTACATCTATTTTGTTCAGGAAAAAACTCTATCTTTATCTTTTTCAGGTTTTCATGTTATTAAAAGGTCGTTCATTTGGCGCTAATAAGTTTGTAAAAAGAATTAATGTATACTTTGCTGATGTTGTCCTAAGTAATTAGTAGGACCCCATCAATAACTGGGTATTTTGTCTTCGTTAAACTAAGAGAAAAGGGGTAAAATCAACGCTCGTTTGTCCTGTGCACATAAATTTTAGTATCTTCGAAGCATGAAAATAAAAGAGATATAAAGTTGGGATGCTAACCAGGCATGTCACGAATACAACTAAATAGTATGCACAAGAAAGATCAGAACTAAATGATTGATACATTACCTAATAAACCCAGGGGATAACCTTTAGGAGCTATCATCAGTTTATTTTTGGGTATAGAATCTAGAGTCAATATCCATAAATACTCTCGCTCCGTTAAACCAACTTCACCAGCAATTTCCAATACTTCAGATGTTTCTACGCTGGAAAAGAGAAAATGTTTTATCGGATTTTAAAGGCTAATACGTTTTAAACTGGTTTCAGGTTTTAACAGTTAAGTAAATGATCTCACAAAAATGCATACACTTCGGAAAGACAAAAATGGTTTTAATTTTGATTTCTATTTGCTATTAAGGGCTGAACTAAAGAATGGGGTATAACAACCATCAAACGCAATTATGATACGTCCGAAGACATGGCAATTTTATTTTGATGATTCGCAAGACTCCTTTTGTGTGTGTGTGTGTGTGAGGGGGGGGGGGGCAGTAGACCCAGAGAACAGCTCAAAACCCGACGTGAGACCTTGTTCCTAATCCTTGAGACTTACAATCGTGGTTTTGAAAACGCATTGGAATTGACCAAAGACCTGTAGTCCACAGTAAATTTGGCTCATTTAAATATCACACGTTTTTGATTGCGATTTTTTGAAAATACGCCTATATATATTTTTATTTAAAAGTCTTCTCTGATAAAACCCCCACAAGAATGAAACTTTTGGTTCAACTTTGACTTTGATTTAAATTTAGTTATAACCGTGCATACATTGAAAATCTACAAATTGATGGCCTTTTAATAGATTCAGAAAAATCATGATTAATGTTTCTCAAAACTCACGTACAGAGTATTATATTATTGCCACAGTCTTAGATGGTCAAGACATATTCCCAAATCGACTCGAGCAGACGCAAAATTGGATTATTTTAAATCTCGATTGTTTATTAATCTTCTGGATCATTGCATTTAATATATAGTTTGATCAATTAGAAGTTAGCCATGGGGTCAGCTATATTGCGATCGATAAATGTTTCAATACAGCGTTGCGCTAGAAATGACACCGTGGTTGTACTTTGCAAGAAAAAGGCTCGTTTAGTTTTTTTCGCACATATCTGGTTTCCTCCCGCTGTAGGATTTAAAACGGACATATTAAGATGTAGGGTTAAAAAGTACTAAATTTGATTGTTCCGCATAGTAAGTAGTACAGGACAAAGTGTACCTGACAAGGACCACTGCCTAGTCTCCGAGATGTTACGAATAATCGATGTTATGTTGGCGAACACGTAAACGAATCCTTTAATATTTGACTTAGAATTTGAAATAAGAATGGGTCTTGGCGCCGCTGTCCGCGCAAAATATCCATCAAAACACACTGGATTGCGTATGCCCGTTTTCATAGCCCAGTTGGTGCAGAAAAGAAAGATGTTAAACATCATTTTAATGCATTTTACATTACGTTGTATACCAATACATTACATTGGTTAAACTATCACATTAAAATACTGTGCGTTATAATAATGATTTATTTTACCTTTTACCATGAAATAAAATAATACGTGCATCAGTTTGTTGTAAAGAAGCCAATGAATATCGTAGACCTGGCTTTGTCATATTGTGTAGCTCTAGTTCTTCTATAATCTTATATCTACAATAAATGTATATTCATTAAATATCCCGAGAGATATACATATCTATATAAATAATTAAATTACACAGATTTTTCCCCATAAAAACCACTAGGTATAATTCTTCAAAATACATTTTTCATAATTATACATTATGATGGATCTATATTTTATAGTCTCGGCGAAAAAAACTTATCATAACCGAGATCTATTGGTCGTCACTCATTAGATATTTTTTTCTGTAGCAGAACTATTGCTTATTAGACATTTGTTCGCTGTAATAGAACCTTATAAAACTAGGAAATACCACGAACTAAATTTCCATCATCCTAGGTAAGTTCTTATGTGGAGATTTAACCTCTTCCCCAAATAAACCTGCCCCACAATCTGGTCAACAATCACGTGCCCTAACCCTATTTACATCTCGTGACCTATGATGAAATCTGAAATAGTTCTTGGCTTTTAGCCTTTACCCTTATTCGTGCCTATTTCCCATAATGACATCATGGTCCCGAAAATTCTGATCAGTTCCACTAAGATGAGATACATAACCCAGCGTATCGTTCCTTTGTTCATTAAAAAAGCAAAACAAACAAACAATAGAAAATATTTAGAAGGCGAAGCTGGTCACTTAATGTGACAGGTGAAATTTGGAGCAGATTCCTGTTTTACTACTGGGTCTCAAGCATTGTAACGAGGCTGAGGCAGAATATTTTAAATATCAGTTACATATCTACATATATAAAACAACCAAACATGCAATCATTGTTGAGGCATAATATTTTAAAAATCAGCTAAATTTTTACATAAATAAAACATAAAATAAATGCAAAACATGTGATCTATCAGCATGGCAACGGTGCTGTTATTTTTTGAAACCGATTTATTGATATTGGGCCATTAAAACATGAAGTCATAACTCAACATTAATACTAGTACAAAGGTTTACTTGCCCTAAAGAAAGATATTTCATTAACTTCATGAGTAAAAATATTTTAATCATTTTCATTTTTTTAGTATTTTAATCATGACATTGTTACTATATTTACCAAGTTTATGTTTTTTAAGGGCATCACTAAGATAAAGTAAGAAGGAAATAAAGCTGAATAAGATATCTGTGTTTCATAGCTGATTCCATCAATATTTGAAATATTCAAAATATATTTCCAGGGAAGCCTGGGTATAGCTCTGCCAGGTTATCTTCCCCTTATTCCAGTTTTAACAGATGAAAGTTTCAGTTCTATAAATCTCATAGTAAATTCAACAAACTATTTTTCAAACAAAGTTTATTTCGTAAAGGGGGGTAAGAAAACATATGATTTATTGTTTATTTTTAAAAGAAAATTAGAGTTAATAAACTGTCTTACTTCAGGTCGAGTATATCTCTCGAACACGTATTGATGTTCAGTTTATGGACAGTTCTTATGACATTTTGCACGATTCTGTCGTACTCTGGTCAAAAATTGTATTGCATAGCCAATGCGATGGACTAAGTTGAGTGTAACTACAATAACTACATTAACATGAAACACCTTCAATATGATACAAGGTTGGAAGAATATTTCGCCCTAATTAAATAATCTTTTGGGTTTGCCCCTTTAAAGCAATGGCAAGACTTGAAGTATACAAATGGGTGTAAAACCAGGAATGTTGAAAGTGTCTCTGCAAAATATATTCGAATCAGTTCATTTTGCTTGTGTCTGGTTAATTCAGTACTAAATGCCTCTCCAGAAGTACGTTAATTCTCCATCTACTTTCAAAGCACAGCGGTTTACAACCCTTCGTAGACTTAAAGTTTAAAGCAATTTTTGCTTTTGTTTTTGTTAATATGGACCTCATCGCCTCATGTGAGGATAATACATTACCATACTTGGCGTAGCAGTTCTATTTATAAATATCGCGATACTAAAGGACAATAATTATACGAGTAATTAATTGAATGTAGGCTTATGAAAATAATAAAGAATATATCAGATATATAGGTAAAGCGATTAATCCACATTAGTTGTGGTATTTATCATCATGGTCATAACAAACTGCCATTGACCAATGGTCATTTTATCAGCCGCGTTTGATATAAATGAATTGTTGATGGATCTATCCATCACTTGTCAGTGACAGATTAGATTTTTTCTACAAATGACAATTGGCGAAGAAATCACAGACATGCAAAACAAATGGAAAGTACAACCAATGGTAACAAGGAGATAAATTTGCCATAAATGAGACGCCTGCCGGTGGCCATTTCAGCATGGTGTATTTTTGGTCGCGTTTTTCCTGAAATTTATGTTATAGTGTATAGCAAATTCAAAACTAACCCTGTAACCCACCAATTTAAAGATCGTCTATCTATTACTATATTTTAATGATGACAGCTCCGAAGATTCAAGCCTTACCCACAATTAATGAATGCGCCCATTGCTTCATTTGCAGTAACATAACTATAAATTGTCCAATAGGAAGAGTAAATAGACAACTAACAGTTATCTCACAGCACAGAATTATTAATTTGATTGACCCGCGCAACATATCGCTAATTATTCCATCTTTGTGGTGGAAAGATATGGCGTCCTTGATGACGTCATTAATGTATTCTCAAATTAAAGGTAACCGTGGAACAGGCCACCAAGACATTGTCTAAAATTTGATTTGGGTAGCTGTTATAATTATCTATCTTTGGTTACAGTCTATAAACAGGTGAACTATCTCATTTAAATGTCTTTGAATACAGACTTGTGGTCACCTTTATTGTTGGCATTCGTCGTCAGTCGTCCATATAGCTTGTTGATGCCCCAGAGACTATAGTCATCACCTGACCGGGTTAACATTTATACCGTGTGTATGTTGATGAGACCCAGTGATTACGTTTCTAGTGTAAGGAAAGATTTGTAATATAAGAATCTTCAATGAAAAAAATGGAATTAAACAGTTAGAAGGTTTAATGGATCCATGTGATTTAAAGCGTCGACACATGGATTCAAAATTTTCACAGTCTACAACAGAATACAATACAGAACAGCTGTATTCATCCGCAAAAAAAACCAGTACCTAAAATTCATGTACATTATATAGGTTTAAACGTCAAATGAGGTCAAATGAATAGAGACGTCTTTAATATATACTAAATATTCGTATCATCCCAAATCGACAATAAAACAGTGAGAAAAAGGAAAATCTAAGTAATGGCAATCTAATTAACATAAAATTTACGACATAATGGATTCTTCAATGTTTTGATGGTGATCATGAAGAAAATAGGCCTACATCTGCTCTCAGGAATCCGATAAGATTTTCAAAAAACAGATCAGTAGAATTATAGATTGTTATTCCACAAAGTCGAAAGGTATGTTAGATTTTTCATTCAGTCAAGTTAGAGCGAGTTTATTGCCGTACTTTGAGCTCCAAACCCGATAGAAATGAAGGCGGAAGTGGCCATAATAGTTTTAGAGATCACTACGTGATGGCCCTCCTGCGTCGCGACAAACAGGGCCGATTTGTCAAGAACCCCATTGACTGTCAAAGATTGCCTGTAAACCTACTTTAGTTCATTGTGGTGTGTAGTGTTAGTGTTGGTGTGGTGTGGTGTGGTGTGGTGTGGTGTAAGTGTTACTTTACGTTACTTTACAAAAAGATACTTTTTCAAAATCAAATATGAATGAGATCAGAGTTGATTTGAATTGGGCGCCATGACTTGAGATGAAGCTTTTCTAAAGCTATTATTTACAAAGTGAAGCTTTGCTTCCAGTAACCGTTGAATTACAACGAGAATAATTGATGTTTACATTCCATCATGAGCAAATTGAAGCAGAATGCAAGAAAAATAAAATAATCTTCAACTCCATTAATTTTTATTACAAAAAAACACAGATAGATTATTGATCTGAAAATGAAAAATAACCATTATTGTTTTTTTATCAGTGTGTTCGTTCACTGAAAATAACGTGAGAAATTCCATCATGACCGGATTAATAATTGATAATGCAATAGGTGATGAAACTACTGACATAAAACAGAAATCAAATTAACAACACCCTATGTTGTTTGATTATCGGGTACTCTAAAATTGTTTTTTTTTAAAAAAAGAAATACATGGATTGAGTATTAGCGAAAATCTTTTGACACATTCAACAGTAAATTGCGTGATAAATCAAGTAAAATAAATAATTGATTAAAAATACTCATTTAAAGCAAGGATGTGGATGAGAAATTCGCCAATCTAAATCTGACAAAATCAAGAAAAAAATATAATCTAACTTCTGTTCGGAGTGTTTTACTGTTGTCAAGCAATACTGGTGTTCAGCTGATGACCTTAAAGAATTCAGAGAGCATGGATTAAGATTAGTAATTATTTCCCTTGATTTCACGTATTTATATCAATTCTCTCCCCCCCCCCTCCAGGCCCCCTTTCATGGCAAGGCAATTCTTGTTGTCTTTGTAATCTAGAATCATAGAAGATTGTGTAAATTGAGATTCTCTGTCAGGTTTTGGTGAATATTCAGGATTTTGAGGCGGAAGGATCAGGAGGTAAATAGATTTATTTAAGATGCGTATTAACAGATATTTATAACCACACTTTATGCACAACATATACTGGTAATCAGGTTATAAATTTAGCTAGGATCCATCATCTCATGAACATAAACAATGCGTATTAATTACCAAACAGTCGGACAATAACTAGGGGGTTCACAAGATGGGCATGAGCAATAAACCGTAAGTATAGTTCTAGACAGCTTCATTTATGAAAAGTCGAACGTAATTCTAAGCGTCTTCATTTCATGAACATAAACACCGGGGATTACGAAAATATACAACCGCATTTAAATAACATCTATTTGTGGTTATAGCGATTAAGATCCTTGGAATGTTCAAAAAATGTTATTATCGGACAGCATTAAAGTCAGTGAGGGGAGAATTACTAGTCTGACCCGTATTGAGTTAATGTATAGTTATTAAACCTAGTTGGACATTAGCAGTTTGTACAAATACACAATACTTTGTCTGATTTAGTTATGCTAGTGAGTGGAGTTCCCAAGGGTTTTGTGGTTGGACCAGTGCTGTCTGTCTTGTATACACTCCGCCAGTATCCGAATGGCACACGATCCTCTATAATTACTTCCCCTGATCTCATGATGGACGAGTGTAGTGCCCTTACATCTAGCACCCTACCCATTTTGTTGCATGTCATTTTTGTTGACATTTTGGTCTAGAATTTCCATTTTCTAGCAGGTAAGAGGTAATATTTATGGTTTGGGCGGAAAGATCGGGAAGTAAACGGACATGAATTAAATGTAGTGTGATCCCCTAACAAAATGACGCCACTGCCAATAGATTCCTTTGACTAGGTGATTATAAGATGATTGTGATATGTTAGACTTTTTGGGGTTATAAAGATTAAAATCATCGGAATGTTAAAAAAATTGCTATAGCCAAACAATTTGGAAAAGAATTACTAGACATAGTCCATTAAGTTACTTCCACTGTCATCAGAACGTTGTCATCTCCCCAATTGCCTGTTTTCACATTGCTATATAGACATAATACTAAAACATCTCCAAATATACTCTTTTAAAATCATTCAAAGACAAAATACACTGGCAATAAAATAAAGTAAATGTAATTTGATTATACCTGGGTTTTCCATTTGGAGCTTTTTTTGAATTCCGGACTAACTGATGAACTGCTGCTAAAAAATCTTCAAATCCTGTATATTTAGTTGTTACTAATGATATATCAGTCCAGTTATAATGATCTAATATACTAAACATAGCTTTAACTTGTAGATATAAGCTAGGTGATAATAGTAATCTACGACCATCTTCTACCTACAAAATAAATAATACCTAATGATTAAATATAATTTGCTTTAATTCATGAAATAAATCTCCGATCAACCCTCCAAAAAAGACAAAAGATTTTTTTTTCAACCATATTTGTCCTACTGAACACGTGGATGGCTACCAGTATGCTGAAACAATTACTCATCTTTAAAGTAGCTAAGTCTCTAACTCAATATCATCCAAAATCTTCAACATTGAAAACAAAAATTATATATCAATTTAAATCAACATTGATGTTGTGATCTTACCGGGAAGAGATGGGCTTCTGATATCCAATATTTAAGACAAAATAAACATTTTACCATTGGTACATTTGTAACTAGAGCGTCAGAAGATTTTTCAAAGTGATCAAGGGCCATAACTCTGGCAGTACTTATCAGAAATCGCCGAAAATCAATAGGCTTCTTCGTCTCATGACATTATACACTGTGTATAAATTTAAAGTCAATCGGATATTAACTTTAGCCTCTAGAGCGTCCACAAGATTTTTCAGTGATCAAGGGCCATAACTCTGGCAGAACTTATCAGAAATCGCCGAAAATCAATAGGCTTCTTCGTTTCATAACATTAAACATTGTGTATAAATTTAAAGTCAATCAGATATTAACTTCGGCTTCTAGAGCGTCCACAAGATTTTTGAAAGTGATCAAGGACCATAACTCTGGCAGTAATTATCTGAAATCGCTGAAAATCAATAGGCTTCTTCGTCTCATGACCTTAAACACTGTGTATAAATTTAAAGTAAATCGGATATTAATTGTAGCCTCTAAAGCGTCCACAAGATTTTTTGAAGTGATCAAGGGCCATAACTCTGGCAGTAATTATCGGAAATCGCTGAAAATCAAAAGGCTTCTTCGTCTCATGACCTTAAACACTGTGTATAAATTTAAAGTCAATCGGATATTAACTTTAGCCTCTAGAGCGTCCACAAGCAATTGTGGACGCCGGACCGACGGACGGGGGTGACGACAATATACGACCACATTTCAATGTGGGCGTATAAAAATGGACTTGAAAAACGAGGTTACGCATATTCCACAAGTCAAGTCAAACGGTGACGCCATATTCTTATCTGGAGAGCATGTGCAATAAATACCATCGGTGTGGACTGGAATAACCGGGCGCTAGAGATTGCCATTCAATTGAGACTTCTGGCGTATTTTGCCGAACATAAATGATTAGACATTACAGTGAAAACAGAAAAGATTGAATGTAAATCAGTTTATATACATTCATATTACATTATTATACGCGTTGCGACCCGTATGTATCAATTTCTAAGTCCCAAATATTAGCGATTTAGCCCCTTTAAATATTCACCCAAAATGTGTAACTTTTGTGTCTGTTCCGAGATCCAGTCATCATTAGCCCAGTCGGTGCACAACGTAGGACGTTAAACTCCATTTCATTTCTATTCCGAGGGTTTATTTAAGGTTTTGATGCAGGTTTATTATTGTTTTAAAGGTAGGCGTAGGGGTATAATCATATTATAGGTAATTTGATTGTACCTGGAAATTGTAATTATCTTAAAAACTCACCAGAGTTCGTTCAAATTAACTTTTAGTTGTAAGGGAAGTTCTTAACTTTGTTATCTGTTTGAAATAAAACTGGACTTTAAGCAGCGATCACGTTGATTTTACCGGAAGTAAATGTGTTCGGACCAAAGTTTGTGTTTACAGATTACAATTTGTGTAAGCTGACGAAATTCGTTAGTTCGCTTGATAGCCTTTGACGTCAAGTGAATTGTCACACGAAAGTGTATTAAAATCCTTTACTAATGAGCAGTATATCGCGAGAAGCAGCACGCCCACTAACGCTGATTAAAAGACAATATTGGTGTCAGATCACATATGTGATAGAACTAATTAAACACGTTCCAAATATAATTTTAACACAGAGATCATTGCTACGGTAGCTGAGTAATACAGGTTTCCTGAATAGGACGTGACGAACGCCAAAGGAAAACATGAGTCATCCATCTATGTAACTGACTGAAGTGACGAGTGATAACAGATACATGGGCGAATTTCTGCTCACTAATAATTCCTTTCAAGACCAAAAGTTGTTGTGTGAGACTGTGAGAGGATATCTGACAATTCATAAAAAGAATTGACTGCCACTAGATAAGAGAACACGAAAGAAAAACAGAAAAAGTCCGTGCATTACCATGTTAGAATGAATATAAACAAGGGAATGTACGGACTATTTCTATTTTTCTCGTGTTCTCTTATCTAATGACATTCAATTACTTTATTGAATTGTCAGGTATCCTCTTACAGCCCCATATAACAACTTTCGGTCTTCGAAAGAATTATTAGTGAGCAGAAATTCTGCCGTGTATCTGTTATCACTCGTCACATCAGTCAGTTATATAGAGGGATGACTCGTATTTTCCTTTGGCGTTCGTCACTTCCGATTCAGGAAACCTGTATTACTCAGCTATCGTAGCAATGATCTCTGTGTTAAATTTATATTTGGAATGTGTTTAACCAACTCTATCACATATATTATGTGATAATGACTGGCACCAATATTGTCCTTTAAGGAAACATTGGGTTTCTACCCGAATTTTCGGTTGCAGCTCCTATGTTTTGCCCGAGAGTCTTCGTTCAAACACAAAGTATCCGAAAGTTAACTCCGTATATCAATCCTAATATGAACGCACCCTTAGCAAGACCAGCTAATGTCAGATTTGATGTCCAGCAAAGGCTACAAAATATCTATTTAATATTATTAAACGGGGAATTAATTGAGACAGAAACCTTTATCCTAATATTATCTAGACATAATATTCTTTACGTCCGTCAAAGGTAACTTGCACGTCTGATGTGTCTCTTGTAGCAGACGATATGAATAAAGGCGCATTATAAGTTCAACTTATTATTAAGACTTACCCTATCGTTATAAGATCTGTGTATAGATAAAAGGTTAACTGCCAAAGACAGCCCACTATAATTTGTTTTTCAAATGCCGTCATTCCTGTGATCTCAATGAAGTTATTAATTTACTAGTATAAATAAACTAATAGGCCAGTCCGTTGTTTTAGCGAAAATGGTAAAACGGCCAAATTTAAAGTATTAACTGGAAAAGACAAGTAGTATGTATTTCGAATGATGTTTGCGATCCTTGAATATAATTCTTATACTTAGTCTACTAATTCTGAATCATGATTTTAGAGACTTGATTAAATGAAGAAACGCGCTAGAATTTTTACTGCGAAGAAAGGAGTTGAACGTTTCTTGATTTGTCTTTATACACGTACTTGAATAAATTTTTGAGAATGAATCTTATATCCTATAGGCGCCACCCATACCCTACCGTACAAATGCTACCATTGTTTTTTATGTTATTAAAGACAACAAAACAATGAACAATGAACGATAATAGATATTTTACCCGTGTCAAGAGAAGAAATTTTGTTTGTGGATTTGTTCACTAAAAGACACAAAGCGCTTGAAATTATAAATTTTAAAATAACTTTATTATAACCATTTTTGTACTATATTCCCGAAGCAATGGCCCGACAAATCCCTCTCTGGCCATTGCTGGATTGACTTCTGATACTTGAGTTTTTGAGAGAGTGTGTCTATTCTTCCCGTTCAGTCAAATCTCTCCTAAGTTCAGCAACATGACAGCCCTTCGTTTAATCTGGGGTCTTCCCTAAAACTTTGGACAGTGATGTAAGGCATTAAAAACGGTGAAAGTATTGTTCGTCCCCGAACAGTATTGTTTATATTTTAGCCATTTTTCAGCAATATTCTGTTATACACTGGTTAATTGAGCGTAATAAATTTCGTGAGTCATGACGAACGTTATGTAAACATATTTGGAGCTCTGTTTAAACCCTAATGATATTGTTACACAGTTAGGTATTGGTTGTTAATAGTCATAATTTGGAACAAAACTTTGCTTTCATTACGGCAGTGTTGAGTGGGATTAGGTATAACCAAACGAAACACTGCGAGGAGTATGTTTTGTACAAGGAATTTAATGATTATAATATGGATGTTACAAATATTCTGGGACATACAATACTTTGCTAGACTGACAAACTACCTTCAGGAAAACTCTTTATTTTTCTAGCAAATTCTTAAGGCAAAGACATCCAATCGTACAACGCCGGGTAACTAAGCAAGTATCTAATATGGTGGAAGTGTGATTCTGTTTTTTGATTTTCAGGCAAGAATACCAAAGCAAACAAATAACAGAATGCTGACTGCAGTTCTTTTAATATGAACGTTCCTTTAGTTATCTATGGGGATTATAATATAGAACTACCATGAGCATGGCATGGATGATGTGACGTAAACCCGTCCCAGGAGAGCAGCCCGGAATATAAAAATGTTATGGATTATAGATAATAGAAACCCGCATCCATTATGTAGAAAGTTAATAGTGTTAAACATCGATATGATCTGTTATTGGAACAGATAGACACGTCCTATGTTAGATGTGTAACTTGATTAGCGGACAACCATAACATAGATCATTTTATTATTATATTTCTCTCTGTGTTCTCTATTAGTCATGTTCATCATGTTATTATATTTACCAACTTAAACTTATTAACAGAACGTTTGCCTTATTATTGCATTATCAATTTACCAATAATCATTTTAAACCAACAAAGGTCATGAATGAAATGAAAAAACCCAATCCATCTCTCAGTGGTGTGCAGGTGTTTGGTGAGCCCTGAGACCAACTCCCTTATTCATGCTCCCAACACTCAAGTAAATTAAGTAGGACAGCTTGCAAAAAAATTATTTAATTTCACTCTTGAAATAGATGTCAGGGGGCCTCGTCCCTTCTGCCCCTCTCTCTCTCTCTACAGAAACATTTCGTTTTGAAAAAAGAGCGACTTACTTCTAAAATTTAAACAGTGTGATAAGATTTTCTCATCCTAGTCTTAATAACACAACAGGAGTAATATATAACCTGTGGTCCTTTAAATGAAGTTTATTGTAGAGGCATGGCATGTATTAACTAAGCCTTCAAGATAGATTTCAACAACATATACGTATCTGTCTCTTATAAATTACAAGGACTTTACAAGATCCTGTTGTCTGATTATAAGTGGTTTATTATCTGTGTCATTAGCAGTTTATGACTTTATACAGAAATCTGAGTATATTTCCAATTCATCATCAAATTGATTGTCACTTGATAACACGATTCTGATGAGACCTTGTCCACGATGCGGTTTCCAGTATTATTACCTTTTCTTGAGGTAGCACAACTTTGTCCTTCTTAAATGTGGGACAAAATAAGATTTGGTTTCCTCCATATTTATGACCTTGCCAGGCATCATAGATTTGTCATTAGTCAGAAGATCGTCGTCGATTCGACTTTGAATTGTGGCTAGGCCCATGCTTATAATATCAACACAAGAGACCCACCTTAACCAAGAGTAGCTAACGTATTGGAGAAAACTGGGCAACGTTTTTGTCCAAAGGAATACCAATTAATTCCTGAAAAACAGTCACTCCGAATTCCAAATAGGTAGTCTAAAATTCAAATTATATGATATTGAAACTAAATAATAAATCGTTTTATCTTCGTTCGACAGTGATTAAACATATATTATATATTCCGAAGACACCATCGAAATGAACAACTCGGCGTTCTAATCGGTAGGCTTCTTAATACTAACGAAAACCCGGTGTGGAACTGTTGATAAATGGGGGGGGGGGATTTTAATTGCCCGACTGAAATACCCTTTAGGAGTATTATAGTACCTGCAGTTCTGTATGTGTTATGTTTTAGACGGATGAAAGCGTGATAGTGTCCATAATAGATAAAAGGCGTGTGGCAAAACCGAACCGATAAACGGGGTCACAGAAAATGAGAGCTTATCGAGATGGTAAATGCACCATGCCTCTAAGTTTCAAACCTAAAGATCGAGTCGTTCAGCTATATTCGTTAGATTTGCGTAACGGGATTACCCAACTCCTTGAAGATATTTAATTATTCGACTGTGTATGGTCCCATTGACACGAAATTAGGCATAATTGGGCAGGCACTTACATAGCGTTGTATTCGGAGACTCATGGAGAACCCCACGGGGAATTTCTTCTAAGGCGCACCACATGGCTTTAAATAGTTGTACATAAGTTTGTTAAATGTGTGTAATAGACAGACTTTCACAAATCTCTTTTATTTCTGAAAATTTATCTGAGACTGCCTTTTTAAATTATGTTTTTGTGACGTTGATACTAAACATCTTATATCTGCCTTATTTAATATTCATTGAAAAATAAAAACTGTATCTTTGCATATTCCTTTACAGTAACACAATTTAATCTCTATTAATATTTGTTATAAACATATCTCCATTATAAATATATCTTTTTAGAAAATAGAAACTTACCTGTGAAGCTAGTGTAATATCAGGATCCCATGATAAATTAGGTATTCCCAAATAATCACTTAATACATTTACATAACTATTCTGTGATGGGCTAATAGAATGATAAAATGGATTATTTATATGAAACATTATAGGAAGACTTGATTGTAATATTTGGTCACAAAACATGTTTAATATCACATCAGTTTTATCATTATCAGTTAAAATGATTAATTTCGAGGATGTGCTAAACTTTCTTCTAATATTGATAAAATCTTGATTTCGAAACACATATTGCATCAAAGTTCCCCTGAGCATTTTTTCATATCCTCGATCACTTCGTAGATGAATAACTCCAAATAAAGTCGTTGATAAACGTTGAGCATCCGTGATCATAAAAGTGTATATTAATAAGAAAAATGTACTGCGCAATTTCACGATATCTATCACCATCTTAACCGTTTAAATGAAGTTGGACGAATGGCACTTTAAAGCTTTAGTATATCACTTAGTGAATTAATTCACTCAGATGTTCCAGAACGGTTGGTCCTAGACTAAAATTTACACGGAACGATAGCGATTTGAGTTCCAGCCACTAACATCCTTGACAACTCAAATCTCGAGCGCTATTAAAGGGGTTACGGGCTCTGATCACACAGAAATAGATGTCTAAACGTCACAATCAAGGAATTAATCCTACAAGTTGGTGGTCAGTGAGAAAATAATACCTTAGAACCGTAGAGTATAAAGATCAGATAAGTTACCAAGCTGTACTTGTATGGTTAAATAGGACAGATGAAATAAATCACACGGCCAACACACAAGAACGTAGAACAATCACAAGGATTAACGTTGGCCTGATCTTTATGAATATCAGATCGAGTGGACTACAAACACCGTGCAGAGATGTGACAGCGATTATGAATCAAGCGCGCCCAATAAGAATGGCTGTATTACAAAATTAGTACAATCATTGCAATGATTTGATCCATGTAATACCACAGAAGAAATTGAAAACCGCACTTGAATAACAATCATTTAATAATTAGCAGTAATAATAATGGCTATGACATAAACTAATGCAATAACAAATGTTATCATTTCTTATCCCATTATATTTACCACGCGCGGTCTTATCGTTGTCTATAGTTGTTTCGTGGAATATGCCGGTAACAATAATTCCCGTGCGACACAAATCTACAATCGGAAAATAATTACTGGCAATACAGTAGCTAACAGGATATCATCTCTACTATAAGGAATTTCTGATGTTCTGGATTTAAACAAGAATAGATCAATCTGAGATAGTGTGGTTCGTTATTATTCCTCGAACAATCTTCAAGCCAGTTTTACGCAGACTGTTTCAATCCCTTTGTTTCAACAAAAACACTTCTTGCTTTAACTTTGAAGTTTGAAGAAGTCTTAGACTCGATGGAGGTATTAGTACCTAAATCAGTCCAGGAACAGACGTTATTCGAATTTAATCTGAAAAACCGACGGAGATCTTGAAGAACGTTGACATACTGTCGGTTGTCTGTGCATCTGAAACAAATGAAAGTAGCAGATAATCCAAATAAAAACAGTCATTAGGAATTGCTATTTTCTTTTATTAGGATTCTCATGAAAGTTAAACAACCCTTCTATACCAATTATTTGTGAAGATTTAAAGCGAGCTAATAAGAGAAGGCGAAGATGGAGAATTAAATAACAAACCACTTCCAGACTTCTTTTTTCTTTCTTTTCACCATTTTGAGGTAAATTACATAAATATATTGATATTTAAAACCATGGTTTAACACAATTGGCTAAGCAGAACAAAGCAATACAGGAGTAAATTCTACAAATCGATGGAAATAATTTGACAATTGGTAACAGTGCGGATCATTACAAACGTAATTTGAGAGTCGCTGGTACTAAACAATCAATAACTGTGATAAGGATTGTGTTAGTAAATTGCCTTTGATGAGAATTTTCCTTTTGGGGTTCTAAAAGAGCTAATAAATACCTTTATTGACCACCTAAGGTTAATTTCATGGTTTTCATTGGCTAACAAAAACGTATCATTGAGCATTAGTACTAGTCAGATGATTTAAAGAGTCGATGGGGCGTACAGAAGAACGGGATACTGGTATATTCAAACGGTTTTAGACTGGGCATTGCTAAAGATAAGGGTGGTTTGATTTGTTTGTGGGATGAGAGTCTGTCTTCGTCCAAATAACGCCATTTTAAAAAGATATAATCGATTGTGTGCGTCACTGTTGAATACAATAAAACAAAAGTTTGTCTCATCACTGATAGAAATACCATTTCTGAAGAGCCCATATAAATATTTTTTTATAAAAACATCAGGACTCTCTAGATAGTACAGTCATGAATTAATTGATTGGCTTTTGCCTATCTTGGTCGGTTTTTGTCCCTTTTTTATACGCCCACATTTTCATGTGGACGTATATTTTCGTCGGCCCTGTCCACCTGTCCACAAACTGTTTGTGGACACTACTGGTAACAATTCTTATTTGATTTTGACATAACTTGAAATATAGGTTTAACTCCAAAATATCTTGAAATGTATGTTTATAGCCCAAAGATTTCGTTTCCTTTCGATATACGCGCATATCAGAGAGCATCTTTCTGGATTATGACCCCTTATTGTACGAAAAAAAAGCGTTTTTAGCCTCTCGTCCCTCTAGAGGTCACAATTTTTTATCCGATTAAAAAACCGTTCTAATATATCACCGTTACACCATAATGATGATTGAGTTCGAATATCGTGAAATTGTCTGACAAAATGGCCGCTCCTTGTACGCAAATAGTGTAAAAGATCTCTGTTCCTTTCTTTATTCGCGCACATCAGACAGTAACTTCCTGGATTATGCCCCTTGATTGGGCGAAATATCGTTTGTGAACCCACTAGAGGTCACAATTTTTATCTGATTTTAAAAATCGTTTAAATATATCACTTGTACACCACCATAATGATGGTTGAGTTCGAATTTCGTAAAGATCGGAATGAAACTGCCCGACAAAACGGCGTCTCCTTGTACACAAATAGTGTAAAAGTATGTAATAACAAGGTTGTGGGCCATTTAGAGGTCAGAATATTTATTCGATTTTGACGAAACTTAAAATATATGTTTATATCACAAAGATCTAGGTTCCTATAGATATTCAGGCATATCGGACAGTCACATTCTGGATTATGGCCCCTGACTGTATGAAAAATCGCCTCTTTTTTGAGCTTGTTCTGTCCATCTCTTGCAAAATATGGACGTATCTTGCATGGCAACCGCTTGCTTATTAGTGTGACAATATGCGAGAATTTAAAACAATATACCTAAGGACTGTCCAGTTCGCGGAAGCTTGTTCGTTTTGAGAAAATACTATTATCTCCCTTCTTTAAAAGAAATATTTCGGATGTGCATATAAGTCTATTGTATTGTTTAATATTTATGAAAGCATGAAGAATGCAACTGCAACCAAAATATCAAGGAGAAGAAAAAAAAAGCAAAAAGAAGGGATAAAATAAATCTCGAATAGATTTAATATAAATTCACACCAATCTTAATATTTTACATTCTATTTCATATAAAGGAAATATGAAATATCTTCTAGGGAAAAAATCCATGTCAGTCCGATAATTTTCATGGTGTCACTTGATTGGAGCTGATTTCAAGACATAATCTCTTCCAGCTGTTTTGTCGTTTTTATATTGAAATACTATTGTATTTTGTGTCAATGTATTATTGTCCATGGTCTTAATATTCTATATTACATTCTCCCCGAGGACAGAACCGAGATATCAAATCGATGCAACAAAGGGATAAATTGTACGTTTTTAACGAGTTATGTATCATAGCTCGTTTCAAATTCAGAAATGTCAGAGTTAAAATTTTTTTAAATTGTTTGCTTCATTGTAATAACGGATAAGCCTATAAAAAAAAATTAAGTAGCATCGATCGATCCTAAAGAAAGACAAAGATGAAAGTTCATAACTACACAGAATGACAAATTAATATAATAATAAAATATTTGAAAAGAGTTATAAATCGCCTCCTTTAAAACTAATGTTTTTCTTGGAAAAAATGATTATCATGAATCTAGATCACCTCAAATTATAAAGTGAAATCTAATTCAGCACGCAATAAGCAGATTTAAAACAGACAAAAAAAACCCCAAAAACCAAACTATCTGCTTATTACATGTTAACAATTAGTTTTTAACATGGTTATTTATCTATATGTATTATACTGTAAACACGCAATTCTTGTACAAATTAATACCTATTTTTAAAAACTGTAAACTTACAAACAAAAGGGTCGACACTTTTTAGGGGTGGCGAGTTTGGTCTACTGCATTGGAATTAAAGTTGTTTTTTTTCATTGGGACAGTAGTATTATGGGGTGGCGACGGATGGTTTCGTAATATTTATATCGTATGGGGAAGTTCGTAAGGGTTCTCACCTCGTAGTCTCGGTCGCTCAGAACCTCCTAGTCTTCGACGTACGGGGTGTCTGGATCAGTTGTCAACTTTAGCTAAAAAGTTCCATGCGTAACCAGAAGTTTTTTTTTTATGTAGTTGATTATCCAGCAAATTTCGCCAAGGCAAGCAAGAATTACACCATTCCCGAAATAATTCATGCATTATTATAATCAATTCGTGACGACGAATTAGGATTAATAAACAAACCCACAGATATGGTCCATGATGAGAGAAATTATACAACAAAAAATTAAGAGTGTTACATATTGAACTGGCGATGCAAATGGATTTTTGTTAAATGGCAATAATTTTATGGGCGTCGACACCTCGTTTTAGGGCTAGTTACCTCCCTTAGATTTTGTTCATGATAATGTAAAAGACCGGATAATCTAGCCAATGACTTAGTTATTCTCAAATGTTGACACCCCACCCAGACTAATATTCGTAGAATATTTGTCTGAAAGGTAGAGGCTACTTTCCTCGAGATATTTTGGGCTGTGTGGAACACAATAGAGTCGATATGTAGCTTATCTGAGTTGCGGTATTGAGAAGCGCATTCAACCCACATGTTTTTTTCCACTGCAGACGTAGCGCAAAAGCTCAAGGGGTCACAAATTCTAAACCCATGACATAAAGCGTGTAATTGCGCCACCTTCGCTTAGTATACAAGACGTTTGACACAACGATAGTTCCAGAACACACATACTTTGTAAAGTCTATGTATTGCGTTTGTGTTTGTCGTAGGAAGGAGGGTGGGGCACACAAGGATCGTCCCGGGCGGTACAAACTCTAAGTGCGCAATTTCACGTGATATAACCAAACCTTGAAAATTGTAAATCTGTTGA